GTCTCCAGCGTAACGGGCTGGACCACCTCGCGCGCGGCATCTCGGACCCCAGAGTTGCGACGATTTCTCGGGCAAACGTGCTGCGAGGAAGTCTCAGGCGAAACGGGCCGGACCACCTCGAGCGCGGCGTCTCAGAGCTCCGAGTTGCGGGGGCCTCCTGGTGCCTCCTGGGGCCTCCTGGGGACCTCCTGGGGCTTCCTCCTGGGCCTCCTGTGGCCTCCTGAACTCCACCTGGGGTTTCCTGAAGCCTCTTGGGGCTCCCAGGGGGGATATCTAACCTGTGGCCGCTTGGGCCCCTAAAACTGGAGGGGGGGCACAAGAGCAGGAAAAATCAACGAATCGACACCGGACGTGTATTGAATTGACACGTTCTGATAGAGGGCCTCTTGGGGCCTCCTGGGAGCCTCCTGGGAATCTCCTGGGGGCCCCTGGGGCCTGTCCTGGGCGTCCTGCGGCCTCCTGGACCTCTCTGGGGCATCCTGAGGCTCGCACGGTCCCATGGAGGATATGTAACATGTGGTCTTCTGGGCGCCCAGGCTGGACCACCTCTCGCGCAGCATCTGAGAGCTCAGAGTTGCGAGAATGTCTTGTGCGAAACAGGCCGGACCACCTTGCGCACGGCATCTCAGAGCTCAGAGTTGCAAGGATGTCTCAGGCGAGACGGGCCTGACCACCTCGCGCAGGGCATCTCAGAGCTCAGAAGTTCGAGGATGTCTCAGGCGAAACGGGCCGGACCACCACGCGCAAGGCAACGCAGAGCTCAGAGTTTCGAGGATGTCTCAAGCGAAACGGCCCAGACCACCTCTCGCACGGCACCTCGGAGCTCAAAGTTTCGAGGATGTCTCAAGCGAAACGGCCCGGACCACCTCTCGCGCGGCGTCCCGGAGCGCAACTGTTCGAGGATGTCTCAGGCGAAACGGCCAATCCCGGCCAACTCAGAAACGAGAGTTGTGAGGATGTCTCAAGCGAAACGGCCCAACCATACAATTTTTGTGAGGATGTCTCTGCTCCGCGTTCCCTCGGCCGGAGTTAGTTTCTACCACAACAGCACCCCGTTCAGCAAGCTGTTTGGGGAATAAAAATCATGTTTGGGGAACCCTGTCTCGGAGCCCAGAGTTGCGAGGATGTCCCAGGTCGCACCTGGTCGACGAGTAAGCTGTCGGGTCGGCACTGTGAGAGGCTCCACCGCCATGCTGTGAACTCAGAAGCAACTTTAAGAGGAAGCGGGGGAGGGCGCGGAAGCGGGGGGGCATGTCGTGATGGTTCCCTCGGGGATGATATCGAGAGGTACGCGGCGCACGTCTCAAAAGAAGAATCGTGACGTCGGATGTCTGGGGAGGGCGGAAGGCAGTGCGCGCATGACGGATGCTGAGGCGGCAGAAACGACGACGGCGGGGACGGGGAGGCGGAGGCAGAGGCGCAGCAGCGGGAGGCGGGAGGCGGGAGGAGGGAGGAGGGAAGAGGAACCAGGCGGGAAGTGGGAAGAGGGAGGCGGGAGAAGGAATGAGAGAGGTTGTGATTGGAGCTCCTGTGCTACGAAACGTCTCAGGCAGAATGGGCCAGACCATCTCGCGCGCAACATCTTCGAGCCTCGCATTGCGAGGATGGCTCAATCGAAACGGGCCGGACCACCTCGCGAGCGACATCTTGGAGCTCAGTATTGGAAGGATGTCTCAAACGAAACGGGCCGGACAATCTTTCGCACACGTTTTGACAAGTCCACATCGCACTCGCTTCCCGTTAGGTCCTCTCCTGCAACTCCCTTCCTTCTCCCTCCTCCTCCTCCTCCTCCTCCTCCTCCTCCTCCTCCTCCTCCTCCTCCTCCTCCTCCTCCCTCCTCCTGCCTGCTCCCTCATGCACATCATCCGCCTCCTCCTTCTCCCTTCCATCTCCTTCTCCTCCTCCTCCTCCTCCTCCTCCTCCTCCTCCTCGACCTCCTCTTCATCCCGAACGGCATCTCGGAGCCTAGAGTTGCGAGGATGTCTCCAGCGTAACGGGCTGGACCACCTCGCGCGCGGCATCTCGGACCCCAGAGTTGCGACGATTTCTCGGGCAAACGTGCTGCGAGGAAGTCTCAGGCGAAACGGGCCGGACCACCTCGAGCGCGGCGTCTCAGAGCTCCGAGTTGCGGGGGCCTCCTGGTGCCTCCTGGGGCCTCCTGGGGACCTCCTGGGGCTTCCTCCTGGGCCTCCTGTGGCCTCGTGAACTCCACCTGGGGTTTCCTGAAGCCTCTTGGGGCTCCCAGGGGGGATATCAAACCTGTGGCCGTTTGGGCCTCTCCAAATGGAGGGGGGGGCACAAGAGCAGGAAGAATCAACGAATCGACACCGGATGTGTATTAACTTGACACGTTCTGATAGGCGGCCTCCTGGGGCCTCCTGGGAGCCTCCTAGGAATCTCCTGGGGACCCCTGGGGCCTGTCCTGGGCGTCCTGCGGCCTCCTGGAGCTCTCTGGGGCCTCCCCCTCCTCCTGCCTGCTCCCTCATGCACATCATCCGCCTCCTCCTTCTCCGTTCCATCTCCTCCTCCTCCTCCTCCTCCTCCTCCTCCTCCTCCTCCTCCTCCTCCACCTCCTCTTCATCCCGAACGGCATCTCGGAGCCTAGAATTGCGAGGATGTCTCCAGCGTAACGGGCTGGACCACCTCGCGCGCGGCATCTCGGACCCCAGAGTTGCGACGATGTCTCGGGCGAAATGTGCTGCGAGGAAGTCTCAGGCGAAACGGGCCGGACCACCTCGAGCGCGGCGTCTGAGAGCTCCGAGTTGCGGGGGCCTCCTGGTGCCTCCTGGTGCCTCCTGGGGACCTCCTGGAGCTTCCTCCTGGGCCTCCTGTGGCCTCGTGTACTCCACCTGGGGTTTCCTGAAGCCTCTTGGGGCTCCCAGGGGGGGATATCTAACCTGTGGCCGTTTGGGCCTCTCCAAATGTAGGGGGGCACAAGAGCAGGAAGAATCAACGAATCGACACCGGATGTATATTAACTTGACACGTTCTGATAGGCGGCCTCCTGGGGCCTCCTGGGAGCTTCCTGGGAATCTCCTGGAGACCCCTGGGGCCTGTCCTGGGCGTCCTGCGGCCTCCTGGTACCTCCTGGGGCCTCCTGGGGACCTCCTGGAGCTTCCTCCTGGGCCTCCTGTGGCCTCGTGAACTCCACCTGAGGTTTCCTGAAGCCTCTTGGGGCTCCCAGGGGGGATACCTAACCTGTGGCCGCTTGGGCCTCTCAAAATGGAGGGGGGGCACAAGAGCAGGAAAAATCAACGAATCGACACCGGATGTGTATTAACTTGACACGTTCTGATAGAGGGCCTCCTGGGGCCTCCTGGGAGCCTCCTGGGAATCTCCTGGGGGCCCCTGGGGCCTGTCCTGGGCGTCCTGCGGCCTCCTGGACCTCTCTGGGGCCTCCTGAGGCTCGCAGGGTCCCATGGAGGATATGTAACATGTGGTCTTCTGGGCCCCCAGGCTGGACCACCTCTTGCGCAGCATCTGAGAGCTCAGAGTTGCGAGAATGTCTTGTGCGAAACAGGCCGGACCACCTTGCGCACGGCATCTCAGAGCTCAGAGTTGCAAGGATGTCTCAGGCGAGACGGGCCGGACCACCTCGCGCAGGGCATCTCAGAGCTCAGAAGTTCGAGGATGTCTCAGGCGAAACGAGCCGGACCACCTCTCGCGCGGCATCTCCGAAGTCAGAGTTTCGAGGATGTCTCAGGCGAAACGGGCCGGACCACCTCGCGCAAGGCATCCCAGAGCTCAGAGTTTCGAGGATGTCTCAGGCGAAACGGACCGGACCACCTCGCGCAAGGCATCCCAGAGCTCAGAGTTTCGAGGATGTCTCAGGCGAAACGGCCTGGACCACCTCTCGCGCGGCGTCCCGGAGCGCAACTTTTCGAGGATGTCTCAGGCGAAACGGCCAATCCCGGCCAACTCAGAAACGAGAGTTGTGAGGATGTCTCAAGCGAAACGGCCAAAACCATAAAATTTGTGTGAGGATGTCTCTGCTCCGACTTCCATCGGCCGGAGATAGTTTCTACCACAACAGCACCCCGTTCAGCAAGCTGTTTAGGGAATACACAGACAAACTCGAAGGTCAGCGCGGATCCGAGAAATCCGCGCGGACCTCCGAGTTTTTATGTTTATGTCATTTTTCGTTCCCCTCAAGGATTCCCCCCAGGGTCTGAAGCCGCCTGGGCACACTCCTCGACGAGTGCCTCCACTGTGGGTCGCCCGCGGGGCCGCGAGAACAGTGCGCTTCTCGCGTCTCTCGGTCCGAGTTAGGGCGGCCGCCCGTCTCCGCGGGGGCTGCGCGAGGGTAGGAGGGCGCGACGAGAGTCGCGCGGCGCGAATCGCAGGGCGCGGTGCGCGAAGTGGTGGAGGAGGAGGAGGAGGGAGGAGGAGGAGGAGGAGGAGGAGGAGGAGGAGGAGGAGGAGGAGGAGGAGTGAGGCGACCTAGGAGCAAAGACGGGCCACGCATGGGTTTCCTTCGAACTCGCGGGTACAGCTGCAGCGGGGCACAGCACGCGCGGCAGCGCAGTCACCGCACGCGCGGGAGCGCGCACCCTTCACAGCAGGGTCTGCGCGGCACTCTTTGGGAGAGAGCGGCACTCTGTTCTCTCTCTCGCGCGCAGCCAGGCCTCCGACGGGCCACGCCGGGTCGGCTTTGTGCAGCCTTGTGGTAGTCAATTTGAACGCTACAGTCGGGGAGCTGACGAATGAACCCTTTTCGTTTGGGAAGGGCTCAGCGTTCTTTAGTTGCTTTACAGCTCGCCTTAGGTATTCCTTAGGTTTCCGATGGGAAATCGAAGTTTACCTTGTGGAAAAAAAGGGGACTCGTTCCTTATTTAGGATTCCTGAAGTCAACGCCCCGACTGTATGATGCACCGCCATCTGGGCGAAGCGATCAGAGCGGGAGTCTCTCGCAATGGGAGTGACGGGCACGAGTGGAAGAGAGCGGAGAGTTGCCTTCCCGCCCTCTCCTCTTCCCCTCCGCTCGCGCGGCACGCGGACAGGTCTGTATCGAAGTTGGTGGCACGGCACGTCTCGTTCGCGAGAATGCCCGTGTGTTCACCGGATGGAGAGCCGGTCCTGGCCACGCGCTCAGCGGCACCGCTGCAACCGCTCTTGTCTTCAGGCTCTCGTCGCCGCGTGGCTTCACTACGCAGTCCTTCGAGCTGATTCGCGTAGCCTCCAGGGTACCCTTCTAGGTACGCTCAATCTCGTCACCATCCTTTCCTTCACCCCTCATTGGCTTGCGCGTCCTCCTGCTCCTGCTTCTCTGCATATTTCACCTTCTCGTCATCCTCTTCCTCTCCCTCCCGACTTCCTCATGTTGCTTGACCTCCCTCTTCCAAGTGCCATCTTGGCTGAAGCCATCCATGGCTGAGCCATAAGGCCGATTACGACCATTTTGGATACAGTGGAGACCCACGCCAAGAAACACCCTGCTTGCCTCTGGGGTGCCCTGGGTTTCTTGGGTTTGGATGGTTTTGCTATAGGAAGCGTGACGCTCCCACACCAAAAAATCAACGGACATCCTGGGATCTCAGGGTTGGGTTTCTTGTGGAAGGTTCCTTGTGGCCGCGCCCCTAGTGTAAGGCCGATTACGACCAGTTTGGACACAGTATTTGTTGATGGATTGTTTCGTCTCCTATTCGCACCGCTGCGAACTTTCGCCGAGGCGCCTCGGATCGTCGCCTAGTCGTAGGCATCGTTGCAGTTCCGCCTGAGGGTGTGCCATTCACGCTGCAGCGATCGTCCGATGGTTCGCATTGCCCGCTGACGAATCATATACTTCGTCTTCTTCTCGTCCTTCTCATCTTCCGCTTGGTGCTTCTGCTCTTGATAGGCACCATTACTTGTTTCCCGTTCTCCTGTTCCTCCCCTTCTCCTCCTCCTCCTCCTCCTTCTCCGCCGCCCCTTCTGTATTGTAGGAGCCAGCAATATTACGAACAACACCAACAGCCCATGCTGCTGCACGACACTACTGCTTCCGATTTGTTTGACGGGGATTCGCACTCCACTCACCAGCATCAGCACAGTCAGTAGCATGGATGTCTTCACATTGATGACGAGCAACAGTTCCACGTGCAGCAGTTCCAAGAGGTCAGGGAGCATCCCTATTTCCAGCATAACGGGATTCGGCAGTACCGCTCGCGTCGGCACCAGTGCACCCAGCAGAACCATTGTCCCCATCCCAATGGCAACCAATAGACCCAGTCGCAGCGATGCCAGCTCGTCGGCAACTGCCCAGCCACGACCAGCAACACTTGTTCTGCAACGCCATTGTCCCGGATTGCATTACGCCCAGCATCACTATTGACCACCAACATTGCGACTATAGTTCCCACCGCTCATCTCGCGTGTCGCGAATTGATCCGGCGTCTCAGGGCGATCGTACTCGTCCGCTCCCACTAATCACCAGTACCAGTGCTATCAACACCATCAACGCCTGCGGTGGATGTCGACAGCGCTACGGCGAGCGGCATGACAGACGGCACGATCTAGACGCCCACTGGCTGTGCGAAGTTCTGTTCGTCCCAGAAGTGGCTGCTCGAATCGTGCAGCTGGTTGCCGACGTGCTGGACAGCGTCGCGTTGCGATCGAAGGCGCTGTTCAGCAGCTCCTTCGCTTGGGTAGGGAGGAGGGAGGGAGGGAGATGGGGAGGGGGGGGGAGGGAAGGGGCGGGTGGGAGGGAGGGAGGGAGCGAGGGAAGGACGTTGCCCGCGTCGAAGCTCACCATCCCGAACACGAGCGCCCGCTGTCCGCAGCTGGCCCGGCGCGGGCCACGGCGAGGCGCCATGCCGTGAGGACGTCCTGCAGCCTGCACGCGGGCGAGCCCCAGGTCGAGAACTGCAGGCAAGGTCAAGGCGGGCACGTCCCTCTTCGGCCACGCGCAGAGGCGGGCGGGGGGGGGAGGGAGGGAAGGCTTCTTGGATGCACCCCTGCTCCTTAGAAGGCGCGGGCCTTCTCTGTGGATGCAGGGCCTGCGCATCCTCAGAAGCAGCCCCCTTCCAAGAGGCCTTCCCCCCTCCCCCTACCCGCTGTGCGCGCCGCCGACCTCTACAGGAGGAATCGACGACGCCTGCGTGCAGCACATTATAGCATATGTCTCAGCGCGCCCGACTCGGACACATTCTGACCTCCAATATTGATAGGTCCTGTGCGCCGTGCTTTTCGTTGTTGGGCTGCACTCTGCTCCCAATGCAAAATGAACCTTTCTCCACCTCTTTCTCTGCATGGTTTTGAAGGTGGGCAGCAAGTTTTCATTACTCGGCGCCCTGCTCCGCTTGCGCTATGTGTCACCTTGGGTTTGCATGACAGGCGACGGCCGCACATGCGGGTTCTCGTCCACATTGGTCGGCCGCACCGCGTGGTTTCGGCCCCTTCGCGTTAATACACATAATCATTTTCATCTTTTGTCGGCATTGTCACCCGACATATTGTATTTTCAGTCTTGCGCTAGGCACTGTAGTTATCAGCGCTATCTTTGCTAATCATGCGTCGTTTGCTGAAAGACTCGAGGAGCCATGTAGCCGTTCACATGTATTCGCCGTTTCCTCTTTCCTGCAGGGCAGGTAGCCTTGCGAGCACGGGCTCTTCCACTTATCGCACTCGTGTGGGACAGTTGTGTGTCGGCGGCGAGCGAGGGGGAGAAGTGAGAAGGGGCGGGCCTTCTCAGAAGGCTCGGAAGTCCCCCTGCCTTCTGAGAGGTTTTCTGAGCCTTCCCCGAAGGCGCAGAAAAATTGTCAGCAGGCGCGACGGCTTCTGAGAAGTCCCGCCGCCTTCTGAGAAGGCCCTCCCCTTCTCACTTCCCCCCTCCTCCTCCTCCTCCTCCTCCTCCTCCTCCTCTCCTCTCCTCCTCCTCCTCCTCTCCTCCTCCTCCTCCTCCTCCTCCTCCTCCTCCTCCTCCTCCTCCTCCTCCTCCTCCTCCTCCTCCTCCTCCCTCCTCCTCCTCCTCCTCCTCCTCCTCCTCCTCCTCCTCCTCTCCTCCCCCCCCTCCTCCTCCATCCCCAGCAAGCGCGCCACATCACCGCGTCTGCGCTGTAAGGGCCGCCTGCGCCCCTGCCTGGGGTCGCACATGAATATGACTCTCCTCCCTCCCACGAGGACGTCCGGGAGGTGTTCGGCCCCCCACCGCGCACGTTTTTTTTTCAGGAGCGAAAGAAGGACGTACACGCACCTGAATCCACACTGGTTTCGAGAGTACGTATAACGCGGCCGGTCTCGCAGATCGAGGGGCCGTGTTCATGTGCATAGTTGGGCGCGTACGTCCTTTGTGGGCTCCCTATTTTCACATAAACACAGGATTCCCAGGAGTTGGGTCTTCGCTTGGGCTTTTGTTCAACATGTTGCTCCCGCTGGAGCACTGGCCTCATTTTCGGGCTTCCGCTCGTTCCGGATCGTGCTCCCGCTGCAGCGTTGACCTTATTTCCGCGCTTTTGCTCGTTCCGAATCGTGTTCCCGCTGCAGCGTTGGCTTCATTTCCTGGTTTTTATTTGTGTTTTTGACCATCCGATTCTTTTCGGTCTTTCAGAAAATGTTGCTCTCGCTGCAGCGTTGGTCCCATTTCTGCGCCTCTGGTTGTTCCAAAACGTGCTCCCGCTGCATCGCGGGCGATTTCGGTCCTTCCAGGTAGGCCACCCTCAGAAAAAACATCGCAAATGATTACACATCTGGTGTCGATTCGCTGAGTTTTTGGACCGCAGAAGGCCCCCCGCACTTCGGGGCGACGACGTTAGGAGGAAGTATCGAGCGGGAGCCCCGTTTCTGTTTTCAAAAGGCGATGCTGCAAGCAGAGCCAGCGGGTGCTCTCCATCAGCCCCGCCTTGTGGGGAGCCTTTCGGGGAGCCCAAGGAGCTAAACATGGAGCCGCGACTAAAAACCGGCCCAGACCATTCGAAGGAATTAGGTGCTTTGCCATGACATGCTGGACGGTGTTCTGTTCTGCGCCGCTGTGCGATGCTATGCTTTGCGTTGCAATGCTCTGTGATGCAATGCTTCACTGCGCAATGCCACGCCATGCTATGACATTCCACGCTCTACCGTGCTCTTCTACGCCATGCCATGCCGTGCTCCACGATGCATCGCGCACCCTCTCGCGATCACTGCCCTGCTCGACATCCGAATGTTCGAATAGAGCGGATCTCTACGCCATGGTAAGGGATGGGAGGGAGGGGTAGGACGTCAGATACATAGGACGCAAGCGCACCCAGCTTGCCCTCCTCCTCCTTCCTCCCTCCTCCCTCCTCCTTCCTCCCTCTCCCTCCTCTCCCTCCTCCTCCTCCTCCTCCTCCTCCTCCTCCTCCCGCTCCTTATCCTCCTCCTCCTTCCCCTCCTCCCCCTCCTCCTCTCCTCCTCCTGCTCCTCCTCCTCTCCTCCTCCTCTCCTCCTCCTCCTCCTCCTCCTCCTCCTCATCCTCCTCCTCCCTGCTCCTTCTCCTCCTTCTCCTCCTCCTCCTCCCTCCTCCTCCTCCTTCTCCTCCTCCTCCGTTTGGATTCACTGTTGGCCATGCGCTCCTGAGATGCGCGCTGCGGGCCAACACCGCTCTGCCGGTTCGCAGTCCCCAAAATAGCGCAGACCTCGTCGCCTTGCGGATATGATGATTGGAACGAAAGTCCTTTTGACCTCTCCTGTGCCTCTTCTTGCACCTACGCCTGCGCTTGCTGCTGCCAGTGCTCCTCCTCTCTCACACAGTGTTTCCCCCTTCACCGGACCTCAAACGAGCCTTGTCTCGTTCCCTTACAGGTGCGGCTTCTGATCCTCCCGACACGGAGAAACTCCATGGAGTTTTTCGATTTGGTTTTCGTTTTGCTTCTGCCCTGCACCCTCGTGACCGATCGTGTGCCAGGTTGCGGCGGAAAGCGATGGGTAGCGAATGCCCTCTTCATGGTCAAGCCCTGGCGCAGTCCTTGTTCAGAAGAGGCGGGCTTGCTCATCGACGAGCGGTGCCTCCTTCCTCCGCCCGCGGGGCATCGGCGTTGCGTACGTGATGTCCCCGACAGCAGTGTGAGGTCCAGGGCCTCGCATGTCCGTCCTCGGCCTCAGTCCCACGTGCCCCCACCCGTTTTCGTGCTGACCCGCATCTTGCTCGTCGTATTCCTACCGTGCGTTCACGATATAACATCAGATTGTCTCATATTGCTGCATGCGGTATTCGTCTTGGGGCTGTCTTTTAACAGATCAGCCGCACTTGTGCGTGTCACCAAGATAAGACCGTGGCACGTCCGCATATGATCTTTCGCTCTTAGCGTCATGCTCTTCTACTTTTCGAGCGTAATTCAGCGAACTCTTGGCCAACTCTTCACGATCTGGTTATCACAGGCTGCTACTCTCCCTTATATTCCACTCGGGTTTTCTCTTCCTTCCTCACCTTCACCCACGGTGTGGCGCTTCAAAGCCGACGATTAAAAGGCTGGCGCACGTTCCAGCTACCCATAGGCGCTTGAACGCGGAAAGGGATAGGACGGGGGCTGGGGGCGAGGGGGCGGGGGGAGACAGGGAAGGAAGTATTGGCAAGTTGCCCGGATGCAGGGGCCGAAACAAAATATCTGAGGATAAGAAAGCGGTTGGTGATGGTGGGAGAAAAGGGAGAGTGGACGGTGGCTTGTCGTGGAGGAGAGTGCGCAATGTAGTTGTAGGAGGACAAGAGTTGTGGGGCAGCACGCCAATGTAGGAAGAATTCTAGGCAAGCAGGTTTGATGACCGATCAAGCCAATGAAGATTTCTATTGGAGTGCAGCTCACACTGGAGAGGGCCTTTTTCGAGTACAGAAAGGTATACCAGATGAATGGTGGCATTGTCGTCATCAGGGTGCGTGACGTCGTCGGCACAAGTTCGGACAGAAGGTGGCCCGTGGGCTGGAAAGTTCACCTTACTAAAGGACCAGATTACCCGAAAGATCCCGAATGGGCATCTGCTAGCCGACACGACGTGCATTCGTTGGCCGTATCGCCGAACCCAGTGCACAGGCTTGTGAATACCATGAGTGACAAGTGGTCGTGCGTTATTTCCTGTAGAGTTGGAAGTGTATTTCCTGGACACGTGTCAGAGATACAGAAACTTGTGGCAAGACAAGGCGAGCGATTTGAGGTTGACGCCAGAGCTGCCACATGCCAGGCAGCTCCTCTCAGGAAAGAGGGGCTAGAGGACTTCGAGCTGTTCAAACAACAGAAGCTCAAGGACCGGGTGCAGGAACAGGCACGCAGGAAGTTAGTCGAGAGAAGTGCGCGGGCGCATCAGTCGAGGGTTGCCGCAGTAAGTGCATGCCAGCAGAATGTTTGTGGAGATCGGCATTGGGCGTGTTTGCCCAGCCAAGGGTAAGGGTGAACAGCGGAGGATCATCTCATCAACAGCTACATCGCGCATATAGAGGACATCCCGACGTTATCGTCGTCCGTGGTCAAATTATTTCTTTGTGAATGCAGGCTGTTTGGCAAGCCGTTAGCCATTGCCTCCACTCAACTCGCGCTCTCGTCATTCCACGCGCCGCCGACACGAAACATGACGGGTGAGTCGGAAGGGCCAAACGGAATGAGGTGATGAGAGCAGGATCGAAAGACTTAGTCAGCAAACGAGTTGGACAAGCACAGAGGGAGGCAACGAAGGGAGGGGACATAGTGTAGCAAGTACACGAAAGGAGGTTGTGAGAGAAGCATAGAAGTGGCAAGGACTAGGGAGGAGAGCACCGACGAACTTGGCGACAAGGGGAGAGGGTGGGTAAATGGGGGAGGAAGGGGAAAAAATATCAAAGAAGAGGGCAGCAGAAAGAGGAATAATGAAGAAGGGAGGAGGGAAGAGGTGGTAAGAGACAAGCTGGGTGCGCCCGTGCCATGTCTGACGCCCTACCCCTCCAACCCATCCCTTCCCATTGCGCTGGTTTCGCCATCCGCCGGCAATTGTCCTAGCGGACGTGCAATCCCGAAGAATGGCCCCGTCGTGGTAAGCACGATCAGGGCGTTGGACCAGTGTACATTGGAGGAGCAGGGGGTGGGGCATGAGCAAGAAAACGAGCAGGAGGAACACTATGAGGATGAGGAAGGAAGAGAAACAGCATCGGCAGGAGCGGAAGTACAGGGAGCGGGATGAGCAGGAGGACCAGGGGAGGGCGGAGGAGGGGAGCGGAGCGGGGCGGCAGCGGCGAGGGAGGACTCGGATACAGAAGTGTAGCCCGCGTTGGGGCGAGAGCGCCAGTCTGAACGGCGGGAGCACAGCGCCGATGCGTTTACATACATACATACGTACATTGATTCATACATATATACATGCATACATACATACTACTTACAGACATACATGCATACGTGTATGCATGCATGCGTATATATACACATCTACAAACATACATACATGCATGCACACCGACATACATGCATGCATGCAGGAATGCAGGCATGCAGACAGGCAGGCAGGCAAACATACATACATACATACATACATACATACATACATACAAACATACAAACATACATACACACATACATACATGCAAACAATATATATATATATACACA